GTTTAGACTACAGAACTAGAAAACAATTAATTCAGTATTTTATATTGTTGCTTTTTATGAATTTAATGAATTATTGTTCAATTAGTCATATTTTTTTGGTCAGAGCAGCATAGAGGGCAAAAGGCCAATGCTTTGACCCAATATGGCCACGTACTTTGCATTCTCCTAGTCAATTTCATTGTTATACACACACACACACACACACACACACACACACACACACACACACGCACACACTGCTACATAGTGTGCTTGCATTCCTGTGAATGTTTGCGGATGTGTGTCACAGAGACAGAGAGGGCTGTCTGCCGGCCATTAGCCCCACGCCTATCAGTTCGCAGTAATCACTCTTGCCTGGCTGTCGTCTGTCCACTGCCAGCTGTCAAAGGGCCTGCTCTGGGCATGCCCACTGATGAGAGGCTGCAGCCATGCTCTAGAATCAATCCAGCACTCTAATAGGTCACGTATGGCTGCACAGTGCTTGCCAATAGCTTTGGATTGGAGAATGAGTAGATGAAGGAGTGGAAAAATATAGAGGGAAGAGAGAGATACACAGGAGGAGACAGATATGTCAGGCATATTTTTATCATTAACAACAAGATTGGCTTGCCACTGCTAGAAAAGAAAGGGCAGTAATTGACATGCCACTAATTTGCCTCTGCTGCTCAGAAGTGAAGGCTTCTGACTCCACCGTAGTGATGGCCAAATTTGAGTGAAACCAGAACACACTAACATAAATCTCTCTTACTCTGCCCCCCCCCCAACTCATTAGAGTTTCCTACTTTTAGACCTAATTATGAGTAAATGTGTACACACTTAATGAAATTCCCCTAAGTGGGAAGACAGAACAGAAGGAGATTCATTGGAGGAGTGTGGATTTGTTTTTAGATACCAAGCAGTTGGTGCTCAGCAAATGTTTCAGTTTGCAAAGCAACTTCTGGGCCGTTGGTGCAGGCAGAAAAATATTTGATACAAATGCTCTCTAATTAAACATATTCAAACTGCCTGCCGCACTGTTAAGTCATCTACTGTAAGGGAACAGGGAAAGTGTAGATAGGCAAAAACGAATTAATTCTATCCTGCCAATGCTGTTTGCCTTTGAGGCACAGAGGAATAAACTGTATGTTTTCATTTCTTTGAAGTTATCACTCCACAGCTCAAACATATCTAATTGGAAACTTGAAAAGAAATATTTTTGATCAGTTTAAGTCAAGCGAAGGACTTACGATTAGTTTTTTTTCCTCTTCTTTTTTTATTGACTGTCATTCAAAGTGCGACAATAGACTCACTTATTCCTATCCCACTAAAGGTATATGTGATACATTTTTTATAGAAAAATATAAATAATAATTTGAACTTGTGCAGACACGATGCTATGTTACAATGCTTCAGAACTGTGTGTTCTGATCTGTTGTGTAATAAATAGAGCAAAATGTACTGGCTAGACTTTACAGAAAAAAAACAACAATAACAATGTCATGCATGTGTCTCTCAGTCCACAGGGATCTACAAACACAGGCACAGGCAGATCACCAGGCACCTGCTTGTTTATTCTCAAAGTGCATACATGAAATAGCATTGTGTTAAAAATCCACGAGGGGCTGCAATGGCGCAGGCTTGTTGCTACAGGTAGAGTTGAGAAAAAGAAATATGATCCAACAAGTCCAGTTGGATGGCCTTTCAGAATGCCAGACTCTGTTCAACAGGTTATACCCTTATGAGGAAATACTTTAAATGGTATGGTAGAATTAGAACAATGTGCAACTGTTCACAGTCAAGGTTCCTAGAATCTCCATGTATTTGACTTGCCAATGCAGGCCAATGCAATGTGCCCAATGATACTGCTTTGAAGAATAAGTCTTCTTACCCTCAGAGCTTAGATAGCAGTTCAAGAGCATGTAGGAATGTCCTAGTGCTACCATCAGTAGCATTCCACCAAAGAAAAACCTGCTCTGCAGAGGGGACACGCTAGGGGACTAGCCACTTCTTGTCCCTGAGAGAATGGTGGAGGAGCAGGACATTGTTAATATCTGCAAGAGATTACTAACCCCAGGGTTAGTAATGCAGCGGGCAGACAGGCAGTGATATGTCAGTTGTATGGTCTGTTTGTGGTCTGTTTGGGTCAGCCACAACCTTGACTTACAGCAACTGTGGAACTGGAGACACAGCAATGTTTGAACTGGCTCTTTAACATCACAATAGAGGAGGTCTAGCTGCAGAGGGACACAGTTCTGCCTCAGCAGAGAATGATAATAATGTGTCATCTCCACTGCCAGGCAGCATGGATTGGCCATCATCCTCTGCAGGGGCAAGTGGTGGATCTTAGAGAAGGGCACAGGGCAGAGGCAGAAGAGCCCAGTCACATTCTGTCTCTCTGCTGTCAGAGCAAAGCTCCATCTGAGTAGAATGTTGGAAAATAGGCCTATCACTGCCAACGAGCACACTCCTACTGTTAGTGGACGCAGGCAGAGGCATGCTCAGTGCTGAGGCACACAGTGCACCACTGGTGTTGATCTGCCTTGCCAATCAGTCCGGGGCACAAAGGTGAGAGTCTGTCTGTATGGAGAGAGTCTTTCTGGAGTTCAGCATTGTTATGTCTAGTCCTAAAGGAAAGTGTATGGGTATGGGGTCAGAGCAGCTATTTTCTGCCTCCAAGGGCTGTTGGCAGGCTGATCATTGATTGGCTGACCATGAATGCAAAAGTGTCCATTAGCTGACACTTTTCCTGTGGTCAGGTGTGGTCATAAGGTGGTTATAGGGTCCTGTTAATGGAGTACTTCTTTGTGACATTCAATGAAGTACGCTTAAGCTTTTGTAGCTGATACAGTAAAAAGAACACTCCACCAAGTAATTAGTTTCGGGAAGTCTGTGGACTGTTTAATACTTTCCTTCCGATGGAAACAAATTATAGTTATATCATTAGGGTCTCAAGTTGGGTTATGATATTGAAGTTTGAAAGACGTCGTGGTATAAACAAATACAGGGTCTAATAAAGATCAAATGGCATCATGGGACAGTAGGATCCACTGTTTTTGGAGCTTTACCCACATTGGGTCTAAAAGTCAAGATATCTTGGCCTTTTCTTTAGTTTCTTTTTTTAGGCATACCACTCAGTCAGTCAATTCGGTACACACAATTACAGTTTATCCTGAGGGGAACAAATCCTCTTTGAGTACTGTGCACTTAACATGCTAACACACTAAGCTAAGAAGATGAACATGGTAAGCATTATATCTGCTTATCATTGACAGGTAGCATTGTGTTAGTACGCTCGCATTTAGCTCAAAGCACTACTGTGCCTAAGTAGAGCCACACAGAGCCTCTAGCATAGTTCTGGACTCTTTCTTGCAAGATCCCCAACAATACCCAGTATTAATCACCTTAAACGTGTCACATTATATGTGTATGTTGCCTGGCTACTCCCTGCATCACATGACTAAATACACTGTATGAATGATAACATCACTGATATATTGTGCAAATCCCCATATACAGTAGTTCCTCTTTTAACAACCCCAACTGTACCAAGTAAACGAAGAGGTCTAAGCTCTTGAAGTTGTTCTTGCTGGAGATTGGACACCCCCAGAGTAGTTGGTTTCCAATACCACGGACATTCCCTTGACCAACAGTCTGAGAAGGAATTATTTCCGGAAGCTCCAAGCACGCTACCGGGCAGGAGGAGAGTGAGATTAGAAGTCCTCTCCCAGCCAGCAGAAATACAATAGGTTAAACCACCTGCTGGCCTGAGGAGCTTTTCTTCGACTGGTGTTGCAATCTTCCTTTCTTGAGGTCGTAAGGCCAGAGACATACTAAATGTTATTGTTTCTCCTTTTTTTGTCATCCCCCTTTTGTTCTGAATGTTTCAAAGAGACCATTAATCACACCAACAGCCACACACAATACAACACAGTCTGTCTCGTTCCCTCTTCTGGTCTTTCATTTTTCGTTTCATTTTTCAGTTCTTTCGTTCTTTCTCTTTTTGTCTTGCTCTTTCTCATTTACCCCCCACCCAAACTCCCTCTCTCTGTCTCTGCTCCATCAGTTCTGTCTTTCTGTCTAACCTCTGTGCATGTTTCACAATAGCCAAGGACCGTATCTGCCCTCCCCCCCTGCTACTTTCCAATGTTTGTCTGAAGTATTAGGGGGTTGTTGCCTCATTGGATAGAATTAATTGATTAATACTTTTATCCAATTAGTGCTCCCTCATGCAATTAATCAGCTGGCTGATGTTAGGGCCGCTCCATCAGTCGGACGAAAGGCAGACAGATGCTTTGGGTCTGGTGTGTGATGAACAACGACCTCTCTCTCTCTTGCCGCCCCCACACCTTACCCCCCCTCTCTCCTTCCTATTTTCCACACACCTGGTTTCCTGTCCTCTTTTCACTGTTCTGCAATCGCTCTCCAGCTCACACCACATTGTTAGAATTCTTGCTGAACATAACAATCGTGGAAATAGTTTTCTCCAGATAATCCTAACAAAACCAACACTTATGGGTTTTGTAGCTCAGAACACACAGAGGTAACAGAAAGGCAAGATTAATGGAATGGTGGTGTTTAAAAAATGTGTTGTTTATAAATTGCTGCTCATTCAGCAGTATTCATCTTATAATGAATGAATATGAAACATGCAGTATATGTGCTATGTAATAAAAAAAGCTGAAAAAGGTCCCGTTTGTAACATTTAGGTCAATCTATTGGCAGAAACAGACAGAACAGACAAACTAAACACTAGATTGTGCAGTTTGGATTTTCCGCACGCTGTGGTTTCTACAACTGTTGTTTCTCTTTCACACTTGGCAGTGGAGGGATTAGTGAGGGAGTTGCCATCTGCAACTACACTGCTAGATGACTCTAAATCTAACGTGTAAAAGTCATTTCAATCCCTGTCAGATTTCAGGGTGACACCCAGAAGGACCTTTAAAAATATCAAGTAGAAAACATTTTCATATTAAGCCCAAATTGCAATTATGATAACAGCAATTTTCTTTTCTGTCTTACAGATTTGTCCTTTTCCTGCCAATGAATCACTGATGGAGTTGTCACGATGGGCATATAAATAACGTAGGACCTTTGAAGAAGTACTTTTCCAAACCACTGGATTGTTCTGGAGTGAAAAGCCATCGAAGATCAAACAAAGAGTCAAAACTAGTCATGACATTTCAAGGAACAGGACTACAGAAGAGTTTTCTTTGCAAAAAAAGTTAAAAAGAGTTATTTTGGACAGCTTAGTATTAAACCACCTGAAGTACGCACCAACCAACCAAGTGAAGTCTGAAACAGTAAAAACAACCAAGTCAAGAATGAATGGAAACCATTACTCTTCAGGGGCAGGATCCCTGTTTTCCCTTAGTTTCCCCACTAAGTGAGCCAATGTATTAAAATCTTTTGGGTTTTTTTGCCTTCAAAATTTAAGCTTGAAAGACATTTCAAGTAGTTTCACTACTTTTCGGTCATACTTAAAAAAATATCAGAAACTCTATGAAGTGGAGCAGATAGTATAAAAGAATCAGGATGACCGACCATGTTACAGTACAAACAGAAACTCTGCAGGTGGTAGGAATCCAATATGCCCCATGACCTGCTCTGTATTCAGCAGATAAGTTCAGATTTATTTGTGATCCCATGGATTAACTTTCAAGTTCTCACACAAAGACCTTTCATGTTTTCCCTGGTGGAGTTTTATTTGGTATAAAACTACAACCGAAAAACTCTTCCTGTCTGCATGCATCTTTTATATTACATGTAGACCCAGGGTGGGTTTACTTCTTTTTTTTTTCTCCCTAATTTAAAAAAAGAAAAAAAAATGGCTCCTTCTTGGACAGCAGGAGCTTGGACATTGTTCGCAGCATTGGGTCTTATTAGCTGCTGCAGTTTTGGCTGGTGTGAGCCCTCAAGGACTAGTAGTTTGACCCCAGGAGGGAGTAGACAGGAACAAGGACCCTCATCACTTGAACGAGTCAAGAGAGGATGGGTGTGGAACCAGTTTTTTGTGGTGGAGGAGTACACAGGCACAGAGCCGCTATACGTTGGAAAGGTAAGACATCTAATTTTATGATGTAAATGTCTAAAGAAGTCTGCGAATAGCCGTTTATTCCTTGAACTGCTGCTTTTAAAAATACGAAACATCAAAAGCAAGCCTATCTGTGGATATATTTAGTCAAGACAAACACAAAATTAGATACACTAAACAACATTAAAATGGATTTCCTATAACAACTTTTCAAGTTATAGTAAAATCAGTGAAGATGTCTGCATGCCTGTGTTGTCAGGATGAATACATTGTTAGAGAGAGGCTTGCCCAATACCATCAGCTCCACATATCTCCAGACATTTTTTCTAATGAGCATGTGAATGAACAATGAACAAACAATGAATGTCCAGATCAGTTCCTCCAAAGCAAAAACTGTTCTTGTCCTACAGGAGCAGAGTCCCAAAATGTTAATATGCAGCATCCAAATGTAGATATACAACAAACCAAATAGGGTTCCAAGGACAGACAGTTTATAAATTAATTCACTATTTGAGAAGATATACAAATTTTTGTCAACATGCTTTTTATACAAAGTGACCAACACATGTTGTTTCAGAATATAATATGTGCACCACTACAATGCCATGGGTTTCTATTATTACTGTCTCCTGCTTATAGTTTTATCTACTTATGTTCAAAAGTTTTCAATGAGTTTGTCATATTTGATTATATCTAGAAGTGATTCTAGATACAATAGAAAATGCCACCATCGTATTTACTGTAAAGCCAGTCTTTTCATTTATGTGATTGCATAAACTGACATTTCCCCTTAAATACCCCAATAATAATTCAGTTTAAATAACAAAAAAATGTATAATCTTTTAATTTGGAAAAAACGGACTCACACTGTACTGTATTTTGTTTACTTTGCTAGTGTCCAGTGAAGATTAGATTAAGATACCAGCATTGGTTGACACATGCATTATTGTATGGAACATCTACAACAATTATATTATTAGTATGCATTAATAATTTTCCATCAATCAAACCTAGTACACAAATGAATACTTAAGCACAATAATAACAATACTTTTGATGTGGAAAAAATAGTTTAAAGTGAAAGAATGTCATCATACATTTAGATTTGTTAACCTGTAAAGGTGTAATTATGTGACACCTCTAACAATAACCACATAATATGCTCAGTGCATTTGCGTTGTAGAAATGTAGCTACTAATGAGCCAAAATTACACTGACTGCATGACCTGAAGATCGCTAAACACAGCTTCAGCGGAATCACTCCACCCACCTCAGCAGTAACCCTAACCTATTTGAAGCCATTGAATTACTAAACAGTCACTAGCATAAAAAAACTAAATACTGGGACTCAACAATAATTGCACTATAGTTAATTTTATAGCATTGCCAGGTTTGCACCTGCATGAAGAAACATAGCCCTTGAGGTCAAGACCCTGACATAATGGGTTTGAGAACAATAAAAGATAAAGTCCCAGTGGTTTTCTGCAAAGAACTACCTCTGAAAGGTACAAGTAGTACAAGCTACTGCTTGTTTACTAGTGATAGATCACACTAGTAAACAAGCAGTAAAACTATTTGCCACTGCAAAGACATTAGCCATTAAAATTTAAAGCTCTGAACACACTGCTGTGTCTCCATTACATTGTCCAAATATATATACAGTGCATTTCCTCAACAATACAGTCACTTTTTTGTAATACCAATTTGGCAATCCCTGGCATGCCACAACTATGACCTCATGCAACTGAAGAGTGTCTTCAGCTGTCAGTAGTTTTGTAACTCCTGTGCAACGTAGGAATTTCTGTGGATTTGAGTTTTGTTTCACTCCTATGTTTCATGTTCTTGTTGTTATCTAACGATAGGAATCTCTCATCCACTCTGCTTTGTGATGCTGTAGAATCTCTGAAACCTGTAAAAGTCCAGTTGCTAATTTTAATGCAATAATCACTAATTCCTGCTGTTGCTTCATCTAAAACGTTTTCAAAAAGTGAACCATTCGAACAATTGAGTTATACGTAATTGCGATGAGCTAAAGAAAACTTTACAAGTCAAACAATGACTGAAGTCTACAACTATCAAATTGAAAACAGTAGTTCTATTACCTGCCTGTCCACCAGAGGAACTTGGCTCTAAAGGAAGATCCTGTGGAGGAATTACTTTATGATCACCCAGGAAATATCAGGATTTTACAATTCACTGGTCAAACCTGTCTCCTGGCGTACGACTTCAAGCAACAAGAGAGTACGAGAAAAACAATTGTTTTCGTTGTGGTAAAAGCAGAAATAACACACCATAAAAACTCAGCAGATCATAGCTTCTTTGGCCCTCCTACCTGACCTGTAAACCATGTAAACTATTTGCCATTGCCATCACACCTGACACCCCGGTGCTCCCACTATAATCCTCCCTCCTTTAAAACAGTTCGCCCCATCTGTCTAAAGTCTAAGAATTTGTTGATCTGTACAGAACAGAATGAAGTATATACATACAATATTTTTTAATAGAATATTTTATATAGAATATTAAGCGAATATTAACATATGTAAATGTTAAACATATGTCAATGTCAAAAATAATAAAACTAAAAACTGAAATTTTGTTCTGCTGCCTGATAATTAGTTCAGTCCTCACTATATTATACAATTAGCTTTGTCTATACAATAGAATATAGCTGCACCAGGTCCATTCTAACTGGCTCCCCAAGATTTCCTTTTATACACTTTCAAATATAAGTACTGTTTATTTTATGGCTTGACTGAATACTTGATGGTTATTATTTTTTAAGAGCTATGCATCCAAACGCTCAGCTAATCAACATTTAAATTCAATATTTAATCAATAGTCAATGTCAATCCAATGCTTTCCATCTCGCAGTACAGAATTGTAACTAAACCTTGCAAATTTATGGGGCCCTACACAGTTGACGTAGTGTGCATATAGGGCGGACCCGCTCTGCTTTGGAGGCAGGCATGATGGAGTTTTTACACTCCATTCCTTGTTTAGTTCCTGGAACAATTCTGTCGAACAGTGGCATTACACAGTGATGACAACCTTAGCAATGCCCTTCTCGATGATGTTGACAACAATCTCTTGACACCAGAGATGTGATGATTGAATGTTATTTTACTATAATGCAATAATCATAATGAACATATGTCAAATAAAATCTTGTTTGCTACATTTGGGAATATTTCTGCATTCTTTTTTCCCCTCTTCTCATTCACATCCAATTCATCAGCTGTTTCTCAAATGAACCTCTGTGAGTTGATTAGAGTGGACAGCATGTACAATTCAATTGCCTTACATAGGGCGTGATATGAAAAGACGGAATATTAATGCAGACAGCATGAGACTTGTGAGTCACACACATCAATCACGTGATCCCCTTGTTTCTAATCATTTAGACATGGCAATTGACCAGCTAATATTGCATCTGCATATATTGATCTCTCGTCTTACAAATGAATGGAGATGTTCTCCGCAGCAGGGTCGGGTGTTACAGAATAATTATCCTTTGGACATTATTTGTCTGACATTGTGATTGTGCTGCATCCCTGCTGGCAAGACCAACAACCAGACCGACAGGCAGTACTGTGTCTGCTAGGGGACAGAGAGATAAACAGAGAGAAACTGAGTGATACACTAGGAAAGAAACGAAGGAGGAGGAAAGGCTGCAAAGGGAGACTGGGAAAGAATAGACTTTATACTGTGACTTGTGATTCATTAGTTGACTGGGTGACATGGAAGGCAGTGAACTGATATAAAAGGGCTGAAGGGAGCTCAAGGGAGTAACACAGCAGGAGGGCAAAGAAAGATGATTGTATTAATAAAATTATCTAAAGTTATTGCTCTTCATGTGACTGAGGCAGTGGCCAGAGCTATCAGTGCTAGTAATGGTGTGTGTGAGTGTAGATATGATTTTCTGTCTGCCTATGTGCAACTCTCTCTCATACGCTCACACACAGATGGACTCGGCTGGATTTTTGGTACCAATACTTTAATTTGAGCAGCAGCAGATTAAAGCCAAGCGGTGTACCTCTGTACTGGTTAATTACAACAAGCTTCCTTTTTTTCATATTACTTTACCCCAACTCAGCAAACTTGCCAAGCTCACTTTGCCTCACACCGTGGCTGCCACTACTCTGCTAATGAAATCAGATTTACCAAAAAAATGGTCACTCACATGACATTAAACTGGCTGCTTTGGTCAGTACATTTGCATAGTAAATCCTTGTGGATGATACAACTATATTGTTTACTTGCCAACTATGTTTTAAAAAAAAGGGAACTGAGAACACATGGGAAGTGTACTCTTGTAAGAGACAAAGTTGCTGTTGAGCTCAGATAATCCTAAATGGCTATTGTTAAAAGAAGTAAAGAAGGCAAAAATGACACATTCTTCTTCTCCTTGGTCGGGATTCTTTCTCCTCTGTTTTGCCAAAAGCTGTCAGAAACAAATCCATTGTGAGGGTGTGTGTGTGAGAGAGGGAGGGAGTTGGACTATTTGTGTAGCATCTGCACATGTTTATATTTCTGTATACAAAGCCCTTGAACTATACATTTTGTTGCAGTGTCACTGGGTTTTTTGTATCCTTCCAACTCTCTGATCTTTATGGATGTATCTGGCATGGGTTTCCTTCTTCTAAGTCAGCCTGAACAGCGAAAAAAGAGCTTGTAGAGTCCATTTCTAATGTGTGTCTTTGTCTCTTTTTAACTCTCTGTTTTCAACTTGAAGCCAAATGAAACAGATGGCCTCATCGTTTTTGTTCACCAAAATGTCCACATCCTTCTGAAGAATATCAGCTTGATTTATGGCATAGTTTGAGGTTCTGGTTTGGGCTACAAGCAGGTTTGATGTAGTGGATATAAAGGAAGGCCTTATTCTTAAAAACAAGTATACTACTGTATGTTGGTTTCGATTTGCTGTTTTGTTTGCTTATCACAAAAGTTTTTTTGTAAAAACAAATAAATATGTAAAAGAGTAAAAGTGAAATAGGGGAAAACTGTTGGAAGTTTTCATCTGT